ATATATATATATATATATATATATATATATATATATATAAAATGTCATTTTAAGAAATAGTTTTTATCACCAGTGGTCCGGGGGTACCTTTAACAATCCCTTTCCAGACTGGTGCTTAAAGAGTTAACCACAAACATTAAAGGGAGATTGGTGTGGGGTCGTTCACAAGCTAAAGATTAGAAAATATGAATCTAATACTTGTGTCAGTTTCAACATGAATAAGGCCTCTATCACTTTTATGCATGATCATCTAATGCAGTTATTGAGCACCCTGCTTGCTGCTGAGAATAGCAAGACAGTTTTTTTTAAAGCCTTTTGAAGGCTGTGCTGCTTAATGTACTGTTCCACAATATAGATGATAAACAACAAGTCTCTATAACAACTGCTAGATATATCCTATGTGACAACTGGTTCTTTAAGGTAAGCTCAGGGGACTTTATTAGTACCCATGGGTAGATCAACTGTTTGAAAGGTAAATAAAATACTCAGGCTGCATTCAACAGCAAAAACTTTCTCATAATGTTAAAAGCCTAAATACACATCTATCAAGGCCAGATGTTGATCTTTGGAAGATATAAAATAAGATACAATAAATAAACAAATAAAAATGTAAATTGTAAATGTTAGAGCGTAACACTTCAAGGGAGTCTGTTATAAAATACGCCGACACAGATCCTTTTTCCTCTGTTAACAGTCAGCCTTTACTTTAAATTACCAAAAGCTATTAGATAAGCAAAAAGAAAGAAGAGCTGAAGAGAGTACCTAAAACTGTGGATGCTCTACAATGATAATGCAAAAAGGAAAAGTGCCTTCCTTTGTATGCTCCTAGCTTCAGATATGTTGTACAGTCGGCTATAAATCTTTTTAAAAATACGCTATCAGTAAGTTTAGAAAAATAATGATTTTTTTCCCTATCAAATAAAAGCCCAAAATCTTAATGTTGGATTTGTTTATGTTAATAAATGTAATAATATGCTGCTGCAATAAAATAAAACATTTATTTTACAACCTTGTATACATCTTTACCAGTGGTGGCAATTAAGATGGCCAATACTGTGACACCAGCAAGGACTCTGTTCTAAGCAGCAAAAAAAAATAAAAAATAAAAAAAATAAAAAGGGGCTGCAAATGAAATTTAATGCTTAAATAGATCAATGAACAAACAACCCCGAGGACATGTAATAAGGCAGCTGCTGATCTGTTCCAAGCAGTAGTAGATTATTCATTAGATAGCAGTATGGAAGGCCAAGAAAAACTTCCAAGTGGTTTGTTACACAGTCCTGTGCCCACTAAAGTGATCACATCTTATGAAACACATCATTCAACTCACAAACCAACCATTTGCTGGCAACAGCTAGCAAATTTAATTTCAGCTTGCTGTATATTTGCGCACTTAATGTCAAAGGGTTGCTTTACTCATAACGGCAGAAATCACTGAAGGATTCACCTAGACTTTAGAGGCTGCAGTCAATTTTATGATATACTACATATATCCATTTATTTAATCATTTGGAACGAAATGATAATAGAGTTTTCGTGCTGAAACTTCCCCTAAAGTACTCTCCAGATGACTGGGATTATTAGTCTTTTGTCATGAAAAGTAACCTTATCGGACATTGAATTATCCTTGTCATAGTCGCAATTTTCATCCCTCATCTTTATGTCATTTTTCTTAAATAATGCTCATGCCTCTTAAATCACCAAGAAACCAGAGATTAGAAAGCTACAGCGTATTTCTTATACTATTTTTTGGAATAGAATGACAAAAAGATGACTGAAAATCAAGTTTGTGTATTCATGAACAGTTACCCTCTCTAAACATCATTATCAGTAATAAAGGCTGTTAGACCATTCGTAACCTCTTTCTCTGTGACTGACAGCACCATTTGAATGAGGATGTGCAGTTCAATAAAAAGGGAGGAGACGTTTCCTCATTAATTCTCTTAAGCCATTATCCACAATTTAACCTTGACCTACCTCTATCAAACTGCTTCCTAAGAAGGGGAAAAAAGCTATTGTTTGAAGCGGAAGTAATTTACCTGATGGCAAAAACATTTCGCCAAAAGAAAAAAAAAATAATAATAATCTGTGCCAGTCTAATTGGTTACTGACACATAAATGATTAACTCTAAACCAAAAGTGAAAATATTATTCCTACCATAATTACATTCCCTTTGAGTTTCTCACTGGCATGCTGTGCACATCAGCTCTGTGACACTTTGGTGCAATTTTGGAGTTTTGATTATAGTTGTTAGCAAGAACCCTTATTCTTCTTTTGTATTTTGGGTAAACATAGCAGTGGGCCTGGTGGGATATGAAGAGGGCTGGGGTTAGAAAATGAACTATAGGCAGGCTTCTGTGACTTTATTTTTTTTATAGTTAAAAATGAAAAAAAAAAAGTTTAGGAGACATAACTTTAAAAAAGGCTGACAAAAAGTGCTTAAGCTAGTGTTTTAAAAATTCAGAGTAAAGCAGTTTAAAGTGCATCCATTTAGGAATCTCTTTGAAGATATCACCTATGACAGAATGATGCATCTAAGAAAGCTACTGCATCACAGCGGTCGCAAGGCTTCCTACCAGAGGAAGATGTTACCGGAGTCATTTTGATTACTTCAAACCACGTCCCTGCTGAGGTGATCATCAGCACATAGCCTGATTAGATATTTCATGTGGTGCTGCTGCTAATTTACAACAACCGAGTTCTGTGGCTGTTTTGGGAGGAAGGGACATTGATATAAACCTCTATGTTTAACTCAATGACTCAGTGTTTTGGCTCAGCCATGTTCCACTGCACTCCAATTGCCCCTAGGGCTGTTATTCAGTTCTACTTTTAAAGTTGCCTGCACCATTTATTAACATTCAACTTTGACTCTGTTTAATGAGTAGATGATTAAATTATTTGTTTTGACTTGAATCATCTCAAAATAATCAACACATTAGCAAAAACAGATTCAACTCTGAAAGATGTCATATTTTTGCTGGACACTACTAGCAGTAACTTAACATTAAAAACCTATTTGATAATTGATGAGGATTTAAAACAGTAAAATAATACCACTGACTGCTCTATTTAAGGAGTATTAGATAATCAGAGAGTAAACATACTTAAATTAGGATGATGGATATCATGTTCTCATTTGTTTTGACAGATACAACAATCTTGGTTAAAAAAGATGTACGCATGGCTTAAAAAAACAACCTCCCAATTAAGTTCAGTTAAATTTGTTGCTTAATTCGCTTAAACCCACATTAGCTTGCTTTTGGCAGAGAGTGTCTCTGGTTAATCACTTTGATAACTTAATGGTTAAACTAATGAGAAAACAATTTTCTAACTGACTGTTTTGAAATGTTAAATTAATGCTGTGACTTTGTTTTCCTGAGTTTATGTATGAGATCAGCTCTGCTCATTTCACAAGTCAATGAAGAGCAAATTTGAAGCTTTCAACGCGCTTTTGAACAGATTGTGCAAAAGCCCAGTGACAAACAACTCTATAATCCCATGCTTGGAGTGGATTGATCTGTCGAGCATCATTAGCCTGGCAGGAAATAAACTGAAATTTGGGATTTTAAGATGTGTCTAAATGTTTTAGTGTCTTTCCTCATGCAAAATAGCAATATTTTGCATATCATGCATTTTTCTATTATTTTCCCCAAATCTTTCTAAGCATTTTTTTTTTTTGCTTTCTACATAGACTAATATTTTTCTGCTATGAAGTTGTTTACCTTTGTAACATGACAACCTCATACTACAGTGTATTTTACTGGGAATGTATTTGATAGATGAACATAAAGTAGTGAATAAATGCTTTACCAAATTGTCAAAAAATAAAAATTAAATCATGGTAAGTATTAATTTAAGAAATCCTGAGTTAGGGAGTTTGTTAAACCAGCTACAGCTCTAGCTTCAGGATTGCATCTTTTCCCATTCTTCTGTGCAAAAAAGCATTATGTCTCACAGACAGTATGGAGGACAACTGTTAGCAAGAGTTTTCATAACTTTTCACAGATTCTCAAGTACATTTAAATCTAGACTTTGAGCCGTTTAACCATATGAGCATACGTTGCTCTAAGCCCATTCATTTTAGATGTGGCTGTTTGTTTAGTAAAATTTTTCTGCTTTAATCTAATTTTGCTTTTTTAGACTTAGATTGTATTTGTCATTTTGTTTACACAAGTGTAAAACAAAAAGAAATTTCGTTTTGAACAGCTCTCTGGACAATTTAATCTTTTTTAAAAGTGCAGCCTTGAAAAATAGTAAAAAAGACTGTAAATTTATAGTTCTAACTTTTTTTGTTTATTTTTTTCAAGGTTTTCTTAAGAACTACTTTGTTTTTATTTCTGTTTGTGTTTCTATCAACTCTGACCTGCTTTCCAAATCCTAAAAAAAAAGCATCCCCACAGCAAGAACCTTTTAGTACTGAATTTCGCTATAGGGATGCTATATAGCCAGAAATGTGTAGTCTTTTCAGCATATATAGAGCTTTGCATACAGGCTAAAGGTTCAGCTTTGGGGGTCACATGACCAAAACACCTCCATAAAAAGATTTGTGGCTGATAATTATAACATGAACAGCTGTGGATCACTGCAGCTACTCAGAGTTAGCACAAGTACCTAGTTTGAAGAGCCTCTCTTTGTAGAAGTGTAGATATTACTTTAAACCTGTTGACCTGTCATGGTTTCTTCCTTCTTAATGCTATCTTTGTACCTACATCCCCTAATAAAGCTCTAAACGGTTTATTTATCTGTGTTTATTCTGAAATATAATTACACATGTATATATTTTTTTCCAATTCTGTTTGCTATTTTCTCTCAGTCCATCCCATAAATCCTCAATTAGAATCATTCATTATTCAGTCATTATTTGACTTATCTTAAATATTGTTTGTTTTTTCTTTTACATAGAACTGCATAAAAATATATTTTTTCCATGCCAAACAAAATAAAATATGCTTTGGACATCTTCATCTTGTATTCTGTTAGAGGTCATTCCTCCCCATACCTCCTTGGAGGGGACTCTGGATCCCTTCCGCCTTGACCACCAGCTTTCTACCATAGCAATGAGGCAGGAGAGCACCACACCAGCTGCTAGGACGCAGAAAACCCCAGCAAAGCTGTGGATATCGAGTGCGTTGCCACGCTGCCGTGCATGGTCTGAGCTGTAGAGGTCACACGGACTGTCCTTGGGCCACCACTTGAGTTTTAAGATGTCCATATCACCATTCTGCTGGAGTTCCAGAATTCTAGGATGCAGAAAAGAGACAGAAGTATGTTATAAAGAGATCCAGACAACATCTTCTAATTAAAAAACAAAACAAAAAAAACCCCGTCTTTTTTCAAACAAGATATTAGGTTTCTATTGAAGCATACAGAAAGCATACAAGTAAATAAGAAGGCAAAAGAATTAGGGTAAAAAAAAACAGCTAATTAATGGGACTTGAGTTGCATTATTTATAAGAGTAGAAAATGGTTCTTACCCATTCAAAAAGAGATAGAGAAAATAAATGATCTGCATGAATCATCTGCACAACACCCAACCTTGGATTGCAGCAGTTCTAACTCCTTTCCACCATTTGAGGGCAGTGTTGGACAGCTGAAACTCCACAGAATGAACTTATACCCATATTGGGCTGTCAAACTCATTATGACTAACATTAATATGTTTTGCAGCACAGCACAAGTATGCTGCCACAATGTCATTATGCAGCTTAGCTTTAGTCATACGATTGATGGCTTCAGAGAGGATACAGCTCAGAGGTTGATGGGGTCCCTCTGTTAGCCTTCAGTTTATTATTTAACTGGGCTGTTCGTTTGGGTTTCAGGAGCGCTGCAGATGGAGGCACTCTGAGAACAGCTTATATTTAATAAGAGATCTGACATGAAGCAGAGAGAGGTGCGTGAAAAAAGGAAATCATAAAATGAGGAAAGAGGAAAATAATACCATCACATGCACATACATACAAAGTGAGACAGCCCAGACTCTATTAATGCACAAAGGCAAACATGATCTAAGAAATGAAGTCACAAGCTTGATTGCAAACATGTCCAAGCAAACCTAATAAGGATTCTGCCTTGTACTCATGGTGATTTGCATAACTTCCTTGGAGCGTATTCCTAAATCAGTTTCAGTTACAAGAAAGAAAAAAAGATTTTAGATGTAATATTTTGGTGATATACTGTAAAGCTGATCCTCACTGTTGGTAAAAAGGGTAACAACAAAAAAGATATTGGCTGAATAGTGGTGCTGTTATAACATTCTTGGATTGAATCCCAAAAAACATTTTTTTTTCTCTGTGGAGTTTCCTTCAGCCACCCTCTCTCTATCCATGGATGGATGGATGGATGGATGGAAGGAATGATGGAAGTATATAGCACTAAGATTTGACCAAGCTCCAATTTAAGAACAAACAAAAAACTGTGATACTTGTGCAGTTAAAAAAAAGCTCTGTTACAAGCTCAAAACCATCCTTTGTGCTAATCAGAAGAAAATACATCAAAGCTTAAAAGCATTTTTAACAAATAATAAACACGCAATTCAAACATGAGCAATTTTTGAAGATGCAAGGCTATAACCCTACTGAAGCAAATGGTCTCTAATAACACTATAAGGATGTTTTCTATTCTAGGAATACTTTGGTGTAAGCAAGATGAAGCACTGGGGCCACAAACACCTGCCACAACCTCTTCAGTTGATTACTTTGCCAGTGCACAAATGTTCAAGTTTGCCTAAAGAGGTGGAGTTACTTAACTGGGAGCTTTACTTTGCATGAGCTTCATTTCCCAGACTAGAGGCTTCATTAAAACCATGAATCTCAATGTATCATCCAGGAGACAGTGGCTGAATGTACTGCTTAAAAGCTGAAGAACACCAAGCTTAGGGGTTATACAAAAGAGCTGGAGCTTACTAATCAATTTTCAGCTATTTTCACACAAACTTTAATATTGTCAGAGTCAAAAGATAGTTTTGACTAAGATGGAAAAAAAATTGTTCTGAAAATGGTCAATAGAATTTTTAAAAGTTGATTTTATCAACTAGTGTCTCAATTGTTTTTTTTTTTTCAATTATGCCAAACCAAATTTCTCATGAGCATAACTGGTGTCCTTTGGAGGTTTAAGGGAATTTATACCAGACCCACACTAGGAACATCCTCCCACAGTTTAGCTTTTATGTCATGAATGATACTAGTATTTCCCAAAGGACTGAGACTCAAAGTTGTGTTGCTGTCAGACTCAAAGGAACTCTATATCCTTCTGGGTTAGCAGTGACTTTCACCATGCATTTCTCCCATGAATGACATCATCTTCCATGTCTTTCAGACAGTGGAGTCATGAACACTGACCTTTACTTAGATAAGAGACCTGGATTCCCTTAGTGGGTTTCATTTGATCTCTTGAGTGGTTTTTTTGAAGATCTAATACATCCAATGCCCTCTGTGGTTGTTATTGCTTTCTGTGGGTGTGTGGAGTTTAAATGCTCTTGTTAATACAATAAAAAAAGAGACCCAAACTGTAAAATGTACCTATAAATGCAGAAATTATTAATAAAATAATAATCAAACTGACTTTTAAGATTGAAATGAAAAGTAACACATTATTTGAGCATTGATGAAATCTAATCATTATTTTACTCATTTTAAGAAAAGTGAAACATCAAAACAAGTGTAAAAAGAGATGAATAATACTTTCTTTTGGCAGATTTATGCAATAAGATGCAGATTA